TTTCCATATGCAGCCTGAAGATGTTACGTATATGAGAGGGTAAGTTACTTTTAAAATGTGTTATATAAACAAACAAACAAAAATATATATATATATATATATTTTTTTAAATATCATTTGACAGATCCATGAAGCCAAATTTGGTCGTCTTTCTGGCGGACATGTACAACGTTTTGGAAATTCATCCGGCTAAATGTGTACGATATCCTGGCGAGGAAAGGGCAATGCAATTCTTGGATGGTACGTGACGTTCAATGAATAATCGTACATGATTTCCCTATGGATATACTTCCTACTTGGAAAGATTCGTTCGATCATGTTGACAGCCTACCCCTATATTGATACAGCACTATGGGGTTAAATCAGCCCTAGTGTATATCTCTTGGTGGTGGAATTAATTGTTAAAATTTTTTGGTGAAGGCTGGCATACATATTATATCGGACTTACCCGTTCTATAATTTGTGTTATTATACTTTTCTTTTCCATGGAATTCCATTGCTATTGCAGGCAATACTTATATTCTATAAACGTTATTTTTTATCTCTAATAATAATAATAATAATATTATTAATATTAATATTAATATTAATAAAACAGTAATAATAATACATAATCTATGTATATATATATATATATATATATATATATATATGAAAACTTTGAGAGAGAAGAATTGCCTGCAATTGGATTGGTATCACGCTTTTTATCAGTGTCAATACACACACTCGTCCCAGCCTCAAGAACCAGGTCCTCAGCAATGACTAATGTATATCTATTTAATTAATTTGGTACTTTGTAAACAGAAAAGAGAAAGAGAGAGAGGAGAGAGAGAGAGAGAGAGAGAGAGAGAGAGAGAGAGAGAGAGAGAGAGAGAGAGAGAGAAAATGTAAATGAAAAAAAAAAGATATATATATATATATATATGAAAAAAGAAAAAAAGAAAGAGAGAAAGAAAAGAAGGGGAAAAAAAAATCAAGTCCTTCACAATAGTACTTAATATACAACTGTAATACATACTCGTATTTCCATATATTTCTATGGCATAATCTTCTTGATGCTTGACAACAACGCTATCCTCCTCGCCTTCTTCTTTCGTCAACTTCCGGTTGCCAATGAACCAATACTGTGTGTGTGCGGGTGACGGGCAAATCTGTGCAGCGTGCCCGCGCAATAGTCATGGCGTAGCTCATAAAAGAAGTCTACCACAGTCTATAGCTCCGATACCTGATCTGAGAAGCAACCTCTCCGTATCCGCGCCAGGCTTCACAGGTACCCACACGTTACCAAACCAATCATCAACTAGGTGGTCTCTTCTCTTGTGAATCGCGTTTCGCAGACTGACATGTTTTCACATATATATATATGAGAAAATATTAAGGGATCCAAGATTATATCGGAAGAATTTCTCCCTTTTTATCACACACGTCCACGTTATAATAATACCTTTACGTCGTTCTAATATTTATACAATGTACATTTCTCACGTTCACTTGTCATTCATATAATTTTCAATGTGGATCAGATCGGTATATATATATAGCTTGTCTTTGTCGAGCACAACAACACAACAACAACAACAACAAAATAAATATATGTATATATATATATATATATATATATCTATATCTATATCTATAATATATTGCTTTTTTGCTATGACTAAATTTTATTGTACATAAAATAGACATTTAATATATATAATATTATATATATATATATATGTATATATTTATATTTGTGTGTATGAAGCACTTTTGCTGATTAATATTCGCTTTCGTTGATGTTACAAAAACGTCTTGACACACACAAATTAGGGAAATCTATGATGATACGAGTGCATAAATTCCCGTCTAATGTGAATAGAATTCGTTTATTTTCGTCAGTCATACAAATGCGTTTTGCATTGAAAAAAAAAAAAAAAAAAAAAAAAACGTATATATATCTCAAGCATTTATAGCTATAGTATCTTATTATATCTGTACATAAGTACAGGTATTAGGAGCGCACTGCTTGTTACTAATCCATAACTATGTGCATAACATCTGATCATTGTCATAAAGTGTAGCAATCCCCTTCAACATGATTGCATGTAAATAACATATATGTCCCGCGATGAACATATTTCTATATGTGCGGCAATGGCTGCTGCTTGCATTCGCTTCGAATTCTATTTATTTTGCATGAGGTTGAGAGACGTCTACTATTATATTATATATATATATAACATAGCGCCCAGAAGTGGAGGAAATTTAGGAAATTCATTAAAATAATAATAATAATAATAATAATAATAATAATAATTATAATAACAATAATAATAATAATAATAATAATAATAATAATAATAATAATAATAATAATGATGATGATGATGATAATAATAATAATAATAATAATAATAATAATGATAATAATAATGATAATAATGATAATCTACTCCATATTCAGTTAGTATGTTTGTTTTGCGATGTATATTGTGTATATGTATATGTGTTACTTATGATTTTATATATATGTATATGTATATATATTATATATAAGCAACCTATATTATATATAAGCAATATATATATATATATATGTATGTGTGTATATATATATATATCATTTTTAACCATCTCACATTCCTTTTTCCTTATTTTAATTTGATTTATTTTCAGAATCGTGAATACATTAGAATAATGATCCAGTATTTGCTAGTTATTAGATTGTAGTTATTAATTACATTATAATTTTATATAAACATCTACATTATAATTGTATGATATAAGCTTTTATCTTCTACGATGATTTTTCAATTGTTCACTTTTGCATAGGTTTCTATTTTTTCTGCTTTAAGGGATCATGATTCTTCTCCCATTATATCTTTTGCCTTTTAATATCGTTAGAATTTAATATTGAGTGATGTTTATTCTCTTTTAAGTTAGCCATCCAAATTTCATACATTTTAGCTTAAATAATATGATATGTATGTGTGTATGTATGTGTATATATATATATATATATATATATATATATAATATGCGTATATATACAGAATTGATTTATTATATTCATCTTATTTCTTTTTCCCTTTTTGTTATTTTTCTTATGTATTTAGATATATTTGGGATTTCGTATGTTATCTTTTATTATAAATAACACGTATCATAAAATCGTCCTTTTTAATTGTTTTTTTCTAGTTGCAAAAAGCGTGCCATCCAGTACTGTAAAGAAGTCACAATCTTTGCAACAAACTGCCGAGAGCCATTCTTATGACGATAGGTACGCGTGCAATAAAAACAATGAACTTTTGTGAAATCTCGAAGATCATTCATTTCTTTTATTTATTCGTATAAATAATTGATTATTACAGAAGGGCCGGTAGCGAGGAAAGTTTCATAGTACATCGTGGAAAAGGTATTCCTACTTTGAGCTCTGTGGCTGATGAAAAAACTATTGGTAGAGCGGAAGCAGCTGGACGACCAAGTAATTGGGAAGATCAAAGAAGAACTTCTTATGCCGGCCGTCGATCTAGACGTAATAGTGTTACTGATGATTCTCAATTAACTATTGAAAATTTTGGTGGATCTCAGGTAAGCTTCTTGGCTCCAGTAATTTTGGATTTTAGAAAAAGAAAAAAAGGATAAAAAAAAAAAAAAAAAGAAAAAGAAAAAAGAAAGAAAGAGAAAAGAAAAGAAAAAAAAATACGGATTACACTATGGAAGATTTTTTACGCAGGATAATTTACATAACTTTGGTAGAAATCCGGATAAGGAAGTAGGAGTGTATACTGGTAAAAGAAGTACCGCCGAACCAACTCTTCCTGCACGTTCAAGCGTTCAGGATGTTTATGGAAGTGGTGTTCAACATATACTCGCTGATAATGGTTATAACAATGAAGAACCATCCAGGTTGAGAAGACAAGCATCAAATTCTAGCTTGGATAATGTTGCACTCAAGAGCATTTTACATTCCAGTGAAAATGATAATAACGATGGTAATACAACTAAATTATCAAGTTTTTCAAACCTCAATAAACAGAGTATGGAAAAGGGGATCAATCTCACTTATACTGATCAAGAAAGAGATGATAACTCTACAAAATCTAATGTATCGAGTAAAAAGTATGGTCAAAGTAATGGAAATGGAATTGCAGAGAAAAAGACTACATTTGCGACATTACCAAATACGACAACATGGCAACAACAAAGTACGCAGCATTCTCAACAGATAGAACATCAGTCAATTGGTAAGATTTTGTTGTAATATAACGCGTATATTGTTTTATATAAGTATAAAAATTAATTTTTTTTCCCTGTTTTTTTTTTTTTTTTTTTTCTTTTTTTCTTTTTTTCATTTTGTAATTAGACGAAAATGGTGGTAACACTGTAATGGCCTCGCAGTTAAATAATATTAGGTTAAAGTTAGAAGAAAAACGTCGTCATATTGAAAATGAAAAAAGAAGAATGGAAGTCGTTATGTCGAAGCAACGACAAAAAGTTGGAAAAGCTGCTTTTCTACAAGCGGTTACAAAGGTATATTATTAAAATGATATTTGATTAATATTTAAATTCATCGATAACATTATATTTTTAATTTAATCACGATCGTTTCAATTTTAGACAATGACTATTAATGATTTCTTTCAACCTCCGTAATCATAGATTCCTACAAATTTGCATTTTACACTATATATAATTTATACATCCTACACTATATATAATTTATTTATTTGAAACAGAACATTATACGTAGACATGAATCGATGATTCATTTCGAAATTTAGGCACGGGTGTTTAGTATAGATCAATGCATATAGATATAATTAAGAAAAATTTTAGTGTTTCTTTTTCTTCGTCACTTTGTCATCCTATATTTGTGTTGTGCATATTGCATATTATAACATTACCGCATACATATATGTATGTATTATATAGTATTATAAGCACAGTCAAATCATTCGTCAATCATTCTATTTTCAAACAATGAATATTTAATAATTATTATGAATCAAAGAATCATTTCAAAGTTTGTGAAGAATACAATGATTGACATGGGATGATTCATTAAGTTTTAATGCTGTCTGTAGATTTTTTTTTCTTTTTTCTTTTTTTTTTTTTTTTTTTTTAAACATATTGTATATTGTACAATCTAGAAGTACATGTTTTTTTTATATATATATATATATTAACCAAAAAAATATAAGCTTGGAGTATATACATAATTATTTGGTTAAGGTAAAAAAGCTGCACATCTTTTTCACTAATTATTTCATTTATATTTCATTCTCTTTATATTTTATAGATTTTCAATCTAATTTTTTATTCATATAATTTGCTTTCAGTAATACGATTTATTTCTTTTCCATTTCTCTTTGCATTTTTGTCAAATAATTATTATTGATACTAATAATAATATTATTTTTAATACTATTCTTTTTCTCATCTTTCAGCTGTTCATGGTGGTAAGTGCATATTGATGCACATTGATCTTATTTTTTTTTTTTTTTTTTTTTTTTTTTTTTTTTTTTTCTTTTTTTTTTTATATATAGCAAGGTTTAAAATTTATATTCATTTTGTTATTTTAGTATTATTGCTTTTATTAATTATTTTTTTAATTAATAATTTCTACGTAAAACATTTGAAACAAAAATATGAACTTGTGAGATATGCATTGTTTTATTTTATTTTTTATTTTTTATTTTTTTCCCCTTAAGGTGCTGGTATGCATGTTTGAATTATTTATTATTGATGTATATATAACTGAGAGGGATGAAGTCAAGCATTTTATTTATATACTTAGTCAATTATAATAGAAATATCGACATAAAACATTTATTGACACAATATAAATCATTTGCGCTTAAAAATATTGCAATGATACAGATTACAAATGCTATTAACGTGATAAAATTATTATAAATTTTACCAATGAAATTTTTCTTTTTTTTCTATATATATATATATTGTGTTAAATTTATCTTTAGTTGGAGCCATCGCATTGTGTTAATTGCCCTTTTCTATGTATAAAATATTTTTCAAAGGAAATTTAGAGAGTTTGTGCACATGTAGTAAATTAGCTATAAAAAAGAAAACAAAAAAAAAATATATATATATATGATTTGCAAGAACTTTTATTAAATAAGCTTTGGCTCTTAATGCTTGAACGTAAAATTTGGTTATGGACACACTCTTCCATGGTGTACGGTGGTTGGTGGCGGACTCTGAGTACTTAACAAGGCACGCTGGTTGGGCTGGTTGCAGGGTAAGGTAAAGTCTCCTTCCTCGTCAACATCTGGGGGGGACAGTCCGGAAGAAATTGGTCCCCCCACCCCAGTAACCTCTGCATCTTCGGGGGAGACCCCAACAAGTGTATCTGAGGCCATTCCTGTACCCCAACAACCCTCTCAAGAAAAACCACAGAGACCCTTCTCTCTCAAGGTACGATACTACATAAAAGATTTCTCTCCAGGCAGGAACTTGGAAAATGTAATGCAGCAATACTTTTTTTTTCTTTTTTTTTTTTTTTTTTTTTTTTTTCTTTAAACAATTAATATGTGCTTTTGTATGGCTTCAAAATATCAATCCAATTGTATTTTTATTTTTTCTTATGCATAGTATAGTAAATGAATCTAATATAAAAATAATTCATTATTACAGTTCTCATTGTCATCATTTAAAAATAATAAAAAGGGAACAAAAAAAAAAATTAAGCCAAAAGTTTCTTAAGCGGCGTATGATTGCTTTTTATATTACTTCTTAGTAGAGAACGTCAACTTTTTCTTTTTTTTTTTTTTTTTTTATATATATAACAATCGAATTAATTATTTATGCTTTTAGATGATAATAATAGTGAGTATTCGAGGAAAACGAAACAATACAAATATATTTTAATTATGAATATTATAACAATTCTCCTTTTCCCCTATACCATTTTTAAATTTAATGAATTGTGAAGTGCATGATGCAGTACTAAACACTCTTGAGAAAATGTTGTATGCTACTCACAAGCATATTTTTATTGATATTGATTATTTTCTGTTTACTCTTTTGCATTTTTATTTTAACATTAACAAAAGGATAACTTATGGGTTGTGTGCGTATGTTGTTCATATGAATGTTCTGTATATGATTTCTTTTTCCTTTCTTTTTTTTTTTTCCTATTCTTTTTTGTATTTTCTTTCCTTTGCTTTTATATAATTTATGCCACAATGGCACTTTTTAATCTACAAATTTTATCACTGATTTTATTATTTATTTATTTATTTATATATTTAGATTTAATTGTGTTATAATTATTGTTGTGTTTTATACAGTAATATGAAACATTGATTAAAAATAAATTGATAAATGTGATGTATTTTAGCAGATCTTTAACTACGAGTATCGTCATCTATTTTCTTTTTTTTTTTTTTTTAAGAATACAATACAATAAATGATTTTAAATGTAAATTTGTAATATTTCAAGTTTGTTATTTTTTATTATATTTTATAGTGAATTTATAACATTAAACATTGTAATTTTTTATATATATAAAATATTATATATATATAATTTATTATATAATAATAATTCACTCTTTTATATAATAGATTATTCAGAGAATTATCTATGATATCGCGAAGAAATTATATAAAATTATAATGATATATGCAGGAAATCAGCGAAGATGTTCGAGATGTAGAGCATAAATGGTTGGAGCAGGATGGAAACGCACCGTTTATTGAAACAAGACGTACTCCGGATATAGAAAATATGGATTTAGAACAGTATCATCAATCTATATCACTGTTAGTATTTTATATATATATATACACATTTGAATTATATATATATATATAATCCTGTATGTTACAATTGTGTTTATAAAAATGTAATTATTATTAACATATATTTTTAATATAGAATGAATAACAGCCTCAGTGAGATACAAGCTGATATACAACGTTTAGCTAATCAACAAAATCAAATACAACAACAGCACTTAATGACACAGCATCAACAACAAATGCAACAACAATTGCAACAATTGCAAAGCCTTAGTCAGCAGCATATACAAGTAAGATATTTTTTTTTTTTCTTTTTTTTTATAAATTTCTTTCTTCTTCTTAATTTGAAATATTTTTATTTTTTAGTCCTATGGTATGCCTCCGATGAGTACATTAAATCCAAGAATACAAGATTCTCAACAGTCACAGTTTTATTTACACGATCAACCACAATTACAAAGGAGAACATGGGGACAACCACCGCCAAGTCAAAATTTAGCTAACGAAATGAATGTTGGATATCAACAATCTATTGATTCACGATTCAATCCACAATCCACTGGTAAATCTCTTAGTCATCCATATAATATTTATCATTTTATTATTCAATACCTTATTGAAATATTTCCAATAATTTATAGCTTACCAACAAGATATGCGTTTATATCAAGATACAAGAAGTTGGAATACTCATCCATCACAACAAAAAGGTTTTGTATTTCATGAAACATCTCAAGAGCCAAGGTATCTTAATGGTGGAGATCATAGTCTTTGTAATAATCAAATGAATCAGCCTGTTTCAACTTATCCAACGTCTGCATCACTTTTTAATCAAACTGCATCAACGACTGCTAGTCCACAACATCGTAATGCCGTAAGATTATTTTATTGATTGGAATATAAAAGAAAATATTAGAGCGAATAATAATTATATTTATTTATTTATTTATTTATTTATTTTACGGGTTATAGATTCATCGAATAAGTCAGTTAATGAGCGAAAGTCCAGAATCTAAAAGGCCGACTATACATCATATTCCAATGACATGTGAAAGTCCAACTGAAAAAAGGCAATGTGCAACTTTACATACTCCTGTTCCAGCTCCACCTGTTGATGATATGAAACCACAGAATATATCGTTCATTGGTTAATACATATATTTATATATTAATTGAACAAAAAAGAAATGATTGAATTAATATATCTCTAATCCGAGATAATAATTTTTAGGGAACGACGATGAGGTCGTAGAAGGTATACGTGGTTTGCATATTACTTCAGGTAGTCGAACGTACAGGATACCATCTCCAACCAGGCCTTCGATATCACGAAATTCTTTTCAACCTCATCCATCCCTCAGAGAAGCAACACCATCCCCTTCGAGAACCCCAGAAGTTACACCCCTTGATCCTACAGATGCCGGTGAAAAGGGTTTCTACATTTCATTTGATAACGATGTGCCTAAGAAGCCAAAACCAACTCTTAGAGTTAAAAGAACATCTCCGAAGAAGGTAATTATTCTAATAATATTTTTTAAAAATTGATAAAACCTGATTTGTCCCAAGCATTGAAAAAAAAAATATATATATATATATATATATATATATATATATATATATATGTCTTCGTTATTACATACAACAATTATTTTGTAGGAAAGAAATGTTTCTTCTTACATAGAACACGAAGATTTCGGGGTACGTACAGAATCACCACCTGTTAGTGTCACAGAAAGACAAAAACTATTGGAAGCACAGAGAGATTTTGAAAGAGAAAGGCAACGTCAGGCCGAAAAGAGAGAATTTCATAGACAAGAAATAAGAGATAGAGAATTACAAAATGAAATATATAGAGAACGTCAAAGAGAAAGGCAACGTGATAGTAGTACGGAAGGTCGTCAATCTAGTAGTGCTGGTTTAGTTATTGGAAAACAATTAACAAATCCTGATCCAGTGAGTCTGTGTTTATAAATGATATATAATTAAAAAAAAAAAAAAAATGTTAAATATATAATTGATGATAATTTATTATTACATATCTAATATTTTTAGAATTCATTAGACGAAATGGAAAGAAAGAAGGAACGTATAATGTTACTGTCGCTACAGAGAAGACAACAGCAAGAAGAAATGAAAGAAAGAAAGGAAGCCGAAGCTCAAGCACGTAGAGAACAAGAGAAATTAAAAGCAGAAGAGAGAGCACGTAAGAAGGAAGAGGAAAGACAGAGGAGAGCTAATATTTTAGAACAATATAAAGTTAAGAAAGCTATTGAGGAAGCTGAAAGAGAAGTAAGCATTCAATTAAATTATACATTTGCTGATAATGATGATTATTACTTTGTTGACGTTTCTTTTTCTTTCTTCTCTTTTTCTTTCTTCTCTTTTTTTTTTTTTACATCGTATCCCTTGTTCGATCTTTAGGGAAAAGTCATTGACAAGGAATTGTTGAATGCAATAAAACCAACCAAATTACGTAATAAGACTGCAACGACGCGTCCACGACCAAAGACAATTCACGTAGACGCTGGTACGGAATTGGATTCTGGAGCTCTTACGCCTAGTCGTGGAAAGAAAGGTTCTTCCTCTAATTTGAGTACAGGTAGGTTTGATTATACACCTGCATCACGATTGTTACTTAATTGTTTCTTCAAGTCATTCGTTGTTCTGTTTTTTTCTTCTTTTTTCTTCTTTTTTTTTTTCCCCCTTCTTTTTTTAGAGGAGATGAGATTATGTATAAAATATAATATAGATAGTCAGAATGAATGTATTTGTTGATAGAATCATTTGTTGATAAAAAAAATATCTTTCCAATTTGTATCCTAATGAATTTATACATACTCGAATCTCTGATAATATAGTATAATCAATGTTGCAACATGTGTAATTCACCCATATCATTGTAATAATCTAATGATAGTAACAATATCTTAATGTTGTAATGTTGCATATTTAGTCTTTGCATGGCGAAGATTCAAATAAAAGATATATTTGATTTTTTTTTTTTTTTGTTTTGTTTTTTGCAAGATCAATTTTGTATTTTTGTTTGTTTGTTTTTCTTTTTCTTTTCTTTTTTTTTTGTGGTATTTTGATTATAATTATTCTCACGAGTAATATCACGTATTCACGTGTCCACGACGCTACAAATTTTCTTATATGTGCTACCACGTTACGCTACAGTTAATAGCGTAATAATATCATTAGATATTCGTTAGATATTCGTGTAAAATAATTAATCACAATTGTATAGATCTGTTTTTTTTTTTTTTTTTTTTTTTTTTTTTTTTTTTTTTTTTTTTTTTTTTTTTTTTTTTTTTCTTTTTTTTTGTATCTAAATGACATATATACATATATACATATACTGTCAAAGCGAAACTAGAGTAGCAAAAGAAAATTCTAGCTGATTGTTGTGCACTAACACACTTACTATAGCGTCGCTGACTTCCCCAACGATGAGGCGAGACTACTACCGAGGCTCGCAGGACAGTCTTACTGCTGCTCACCTTGATGATCGACGTTCCGGCCCCCTTTATCGGGGCGGCAGCCTCAGGGGTATGCACTACACACACTCCACTCCCATTAACTAAATAAGTAGCACCAAAGAAATCTCTCAATATATAACTATGGCACTTTTCAATTGAAAGATGATAAATATTTTCTAATGACTTATTCATTTAAAACAAAAAAAAAAAAAAAAAAAAAATTGTTGATTATAAAATTACAATGTTTTAATCAAGATTTATTATTTACAACGTTAAGAGTATAAATAAGATTTCATATATATATATACGTCTTTTTAATAATAATAAATAAAAAAATTTTTAATTACACAGATAAAATAATATTATGCAAAAGGATATACTTCACAACATAAACAATATCAGGGATACATATAATTATATACACATATATATATATATATATGTATATATATGTGTGTATGTGTGTGTATATATGTATATATTACACTTATTCCTTGTAGTATATAATATATATAATAGTTTTTACTTTAACCATATTGACAATGTCTCTTAGTAGATAGTATTAGATAATATTTAATAATATAATTATCTAATGATAATTATATTTTTATTTTCATCGTTGTTAATAATACGATACGATTAAATTAATTATTTAATCAAAATCGTAATGGTTAGAAATTAAAGTCGAATTTATGGAATAATTAATCAATGTGCGGTGTCTATGAGTAAGACGGAGAGTTATTTAAGAGAAATTAAATTCAATTATGAAACCATTACTCCAAACTAATGATTGAACGACTAATTTAATTGTTAATTGAATGAATTATTATTGGCTAACATTGTATGTAGTTAATGAGTTGTTTGATTTTGATTTTGTTTTTTTGTTTTCTTTTTCTTTTTCTTTTTTTGTTTGTCTTTTTTTCTTTTTGTTGTCACTGCACTCTATTTTTTTTTTTTTTTTTTTTTTTTTTGTTTTTTGTTGTTTTTATTTTCCCTTTATATATTATCGTGCATGCTTGGAGATTGTTTTTTGAATATATCTATATTGGTAAATAATAATGTAGTTAAAGTTGTTATATTAGTTTATATTCGTAAATTTGTATCATTAATGAACTCGATTATAATAGCGCTATCCCTATTTTAGTATCTTCCGTAGATTCACCCGATGATGGTAGAGGCTCATCTCCCTGTCGAAGCGTTAAACAACTTGGAAGACGTGGTTCCTACAAAACATCAAGAGGTGGGTTTAATATCGTTTATAGAAAGAATGCTTAAATGATGTTTTTTCTTAAACGTTTTGCTTGACGAAAGTAGATTCATTGCAGGATGTAAATCTATCTATCACTGGTATGGGCGCCTACGTATAAATCTTACAAATGTTTGAACGTTTTATTAGACTTATTTAATTATTATTCTCCAAATGACTCTGAACAAGGTTATTTGAGGGGTATGAATTTATTTTTAAGTAGCGCCTTTCGTAGTAGTTATATATATTTCAGTTGGAACGCAACATTATTCTGCACCAATACTGCACCGGCTACTTGAGTTTTCGATATTCCCAGCGGACATGGCTCGTAGTTAGACTCATCCCCCCTGATGCAATGACGTACGATTGAAGCATCCCCTACTATTAATCCCCGATCGTACATGGCGTTAAGTGTAACAAGGTAAACGTTGCATTATTGCAGATGTGCAGGAGCCTCAGCAACAGGTTAGAGGCAGGCCTAAATACCCGACTTACCAAAACTTTAAGGGAAGAAAATCTAATTCCTTGATGAATTTGTGTGGTAAGAAGCACCAAGTGACTTGGAATATCGTTAAATCTCCCCTCCCCCCTTTTTTCTCTATCATGTGCAAAAGTCTTAAATGTCCTACACGCCGTTCTAATTTTTATGTAGGCAATAGCAATTACACGTATATATGTAGTAGCATGGTGGCAGATTGGAGCACAAATGGCAATGATATTCATATACACACAAACACACACATATATATACACCCGCGCGCGTGCGAGTAGCCATGTTTTTTTTTTTCTTCTTCTTGTGTGCCGTCAAAGTTTCACCAATATTATCATTTACTTTCCATCCTTTGTGATTTAACGAATTCTTCTATATGATTTGCAATGTTTATGATAAATTGATCGATCATTATTGAAGATTTTATTGATCTTTTTATATCGGTGTAACTTTGACCATGTCATTCATAAGATATTTCATTTGCTATTGTAGATAATTTTCAGTTGAGGCTTCTTGGGCTTATTGTTGTACAGCATTTGGTTATGGGTACATGTCTATCTTCAGTGTCTTTTCAGATTATTGTTGGTGGCTCCAGTTCCCATTAAAAAAAAAAGAAAAAACCTCTCACTTTGACTCACATTCTGAGTCCTGTATCATATCAATTATCCTATCACATTTTCTCAGATATATATTTGTTTATACCATTCCTATTTGTTTTTTTTTTTATTTCCAGGTGTTATCATGATACTAAAAGTATAGCAAATTCATGAAATGTTTTAGCTTCGAATAATAATTATTAGATTAGTATTTCGATCATTCCTTGCTTTTATGCTTTATAAATCGAAGCGTTTATGAATTTGGTATACATACCTTATCTGTCTAATGTTGTAAATAAACAAACAAAAAATAAAATATCAACAATCAAAATTTCGCTTGTAGCGAAATTTTGAATGTTAAATAAGAAATTTTAAAAATCAATAAATTATAGGTAGAATTTGAAAGTTAAGAAAAAACAAAAAAAAAACGTTCGCTAGTTAATCAATTAATATATCCCAGATAAAATTAGTACTTTAGAATAAAAGCAGTAGTTTTGTTTGTTAACAATTTATTATTATTAGATTATATTACAAATCATAAATTTATTATTGAAATGAAAAAGTGTGAAGATCATATAGTATATAATTTAAGAGCTTTTTTTTATAAATGTTAAGCGATTTTTCTATATATTGGACGCAAGCTTATGAAGATGGATATTTTTGAAGTGAGCAGGTTATCAATCACTCTCTCGTAAGTCTAACAAGTGACTAATATCTTTTGAATTTACTAAGAACTAACAGTTCAAAGACTTTATCAAGTTCTTATTCCGTATTCTTTCTCGCTTGGATGGGACAACAAGAATAATAATAATAATAATAATAGTAATAATAATAATATTAATATTAATATATTAATAATAATAATAATAATAATAATAATAATAATAATAATAATAATAATAATAATAATAATAATAATAATAATAATAATAATGATAATGATAATAATAATAATAATAATAATAAAGGCTCTCTCTGACAATTTATAAGTGACAGTTCACTTTGTTTTTCTGTTTCAATATGGATAATCTACGTATGTCCGTATTTTTCTATCATTTATTTCTATCTTCATACGTCGAGCTTGCGTTCACAGGTTCGAGTAGTGATCAAGACGGTATGATGTGTCGGTACACAGATACGGATAGCGGATTGGGTCGAGCAACACCACCTAGACGTGCACCTAGTCCTGGTATGGGAAGTATGAGACATCTTCCATCACCATCGGGTCCTGGATCCTTACCACCTGGTCTGATGACGAAAAGAAGAGTCTTTGACGATGGTAGCAGCGATATCAGTAGTACACCGAGTTCGATGATGGATTATAGTGGTAAATTTAATTAAAAAAAAAAAAAGGAAAAAAAATACTTTGATAGTCGATTTTTCTTTTTTATTTTATTTTATTTATTTATTTATTTATTTTTTTTGTTTTTTAACAAACTTTTATTAAAAAAAAAAATTCGTTTATCTTATTTTAAAGGTCCAAGATTGTATAAACAACCTACAACTAAATCGAACCGTGGTATTATGTTGAATGCTGTTGAATATTGCGTGTTTCCTGGTACAGTAAATAAAGAAGCCAAGAGAAAGGTTTTAGATGAAATAGCCAGATCGGAAAGCAAACATTTCCTCATATTGTTCCGAGATGCTGGTTGTCAGTTCCGTGCTCTCTACTCTTACTGTCCAGATCGAGAAGAAGTATCGAAGTTGTATGGTACTGGACCTAAACAAGTCTTCGATAAAATGTTTGATAAGTTCTTTAAGTAAATATCTTGTTTATTCTAAAAAAAAAAAAAAAAAAAAAAAAAATAGACAATACAATACTGTTATTCAGAAATTTTATTATAAGGGAGTAATATTTTTTGTTTTCATTAAAAAAAAAATAATTATTCTTTTAGATATAATTCTGGAGGGAAGTGTTTCTCCCAGGTTCACACAAAGCATCTTACAGTAACCATAGATGCCTTTACGATACACGACAGTCTTTGGCAAGGTAAAAAAGTGAATTTACCAAACAAAAAGAACATGCCTCTCGTCATATAGTTTTACACAAGTGTCACTCTTAACATTATGCTACCATATGCCCTTCGTTATTTATAGTTACTATTTTAATACAGGCCCATATTAAATTAATGCAAACGTTGCGTTCTTAGTCAATTTTATAAGGACACCCGATGGATCGGTGCTGACTCGATTATTAATTATGTTACGTTAGTTGTGCGATTATCCCAAGATTTTCTGCGGGATTTTTTTTTTCTTTTTCTTTTTTTCTCTCTCTCTCCCTCCCACTCTCTCTCTCTCTCTTTCTATCTCTCTCTCTCTCTCTCTCTCTCTCTCTCTCTCTCTCTCTCTCTCTCTCTTGCTTTTATAAGATCGCACGAATTATATTTTTAAACGAACAACGTCATTAGAATTTTTCTTCACTAATTTTTCTCATTCTCTCTTTTATTTTTCATTTCTTATCTTTCTTTTTTTTTCTTTCTCTCTTTCTATCGTATTTTTCTATATTTTGTCTCTCGTAATTTTCTATTGCATTGATCTCAGCACCGATTTTTGTGTCATAAGATTACCAATATCTACGATAGGAACGGTTTGTTGCCGATGCGTAATATTCGTGCGGATTAACTCTCGACATGTAATCTCGTAATCACATAAACTGCTGTGTTGCAAATGGAACGCATGACTGATATCAACGTGTTATTCATTTTCCTAAGTTCACTTTTGCAAGGGGGAGAAAGAGAGAGAGAGAGAGAGAGAGAGAGAGAGAGAGAGAGAGCCAGGATTATCGCATTTTCATGTTAACAAAAAAGTCTTGTCTTATTAGTGCATATAAATGATGTGATTCGCACAGGTTTTTTCCATCTTTTTTAGATTTAACAACAACAAAAAATATGTGAATTAATATTATTTTTATCATTATTATTATTAATATTATTATTATTATTATTATTATTATTATTATTATTATTATTAATATTATTAATATTATTATTATTATTATTATTATTATTATTATTATTATTATTATTATTATTATTATTATTATTATTATTATTATTAATCTAGTACGATTGGCTTTTACGAACAGTTAAAAATTAAGCAGACGAGGGATCATTAATTTTCACATATGTCATATATTGATGTATTAAAAGACACAAGAGTGATACTGTCATTAATGTTGTTATTTATATTGCGAAAATAAATTAAGCTTTAGCTCGCTTCATTTTACAATTTAAAAGTAATCATTTCTTATTTCCTTTTTCATTTCTTAATATTTGTGTGTGTGTATATGTATATATATATATATATATATATATATATATATATATATATATATTTATACCTTAACAAAAGCTAAAATTATTAACATTTCCAATTAACTTGTATTAGATCAAAGTTGATAAATGATTCTTCGTCTTGCATAGTATTTGCAACTGTTGACAGTTGTAGGATATAATGTAATTTGTAATTTGTAATTTGTAATTTGTTTGAGGAGAAGAATGTGTAAGGAGAACAGCTCACAGACTATAAAAGTAGTTTTGTAAATAAATAAGTTGAGAATGAAAATTAGTGAAGAAAATACCAAATCAGCCTTATGGTCAATCTGGGCATAGTATATATATATATGTGCATACACATATATATATGTGTGTGTGTGTGTATGTAAATATATATATATATATATACATATATATGTATATATATATATCTCGTGCAAGAATGTTTTTCTTTATGATACAAAGAGTATATGCATGAATTCGAATTGAGCTATAAAATGTGCCGTCAAATGTATACTGCTGAGAAAAAAAAAGTGATTGTAACTTGTCAACGAGAAATGAAAAAGAAAAAAAAAAAGAAAAAAGAAAAAGAACTCGACTAATATTTATTTTTGATTACTAACAAATTCTGTCGTCTATTGTAAACCCGTAGTTTTTCACACAATGTCTCCATCCCTTTCTTTATCAATTAAAATTACTCTTTGTGATCATCTTGTAAGAGGATAATGGAATATGGTCGGTGTCCTGTGTCACTATCGATATAATTTATATATACCATATTCCAGGATATTTAAACGAGATTGTAATTGACAAGAAAATCATTTCTATATATTATTGTAATTTTTCTTTGGTCTAATTGATAAAACACCATCCATAGTCTGTGTTCCTCAAAGAAAAAGAAAAAGAAATTGAACGAAAGATATGAAATCTTTAAAAAAAAAAAAAAAAAAAAAAAAATTACGCGTAGGGACGATCATTCTTCTTTTTCTTTTCTTTTCTTTACTTTTATATCTTTTAATCTTTTATTTTATCTAAAGAGAATGATTTACAAATGAAAATTAAATTAATATCTTCTTAAATTTCTTTTGTTTTGTATCACAGAGAATGGTATATCTCATATCAATTAATATTTTCTAGTGGCAAGTGTGCCACATTGTAATTCTTCCTTTTTATTTTCTTTTAGACACATATATATATATATATATATATATATATATATATATATATTATAAGAGAATGAGATATACCTGGTATGTATATTAATGATTAATTAGTTTGATAACATATAAATGAAAAACTATTTATATTGTGCCATAAATTTAACGTCCGCCTCTCAATTGCGATTGGCATTGGCTCTTTTTGTCTTTGGCAAATGACTAATCTTTTAATGAAAGAGTAAATACGAATTTTTTAATACGATATATTCCTATAGATACACGATGGGATAGTGTTTAGATAGAAACGCGAGAAAAATATTTTATAGATTAATATGGAGGGTCTATCATCTCTCATGTAATTCCTATTATTATAATTATATTTTCAATTGAGTATAATCATCGAATTAATTTTATTATAATTATTATTATTATTATTATTATTATTATTATTATTATTATTATTGTTATTATTATTATTATTATTATTATTATTATTATTATTATTATTATTATTATTATTATTATTATTGTAACATAACGTGTAAAAGTAACGTCGAAATATTTTGTGTTTTTAAAATGTTTTAATATAAATTTAATCAGATTAGATAGACCCTTCATATTTTTGTATGATTAGACATACAGACAGACAGATATACACGTACACCCATACACCCATACATACATACACAAACATACATAGACACACACACACACACATACAGTAAAAAGCATATTGATTAACATTAGAAACGAAAAAAATTATGCGACATATCGAATTTTCTTCAACTTTCTACGGTCATTCGAAAAAAAAAAAAAGATAATGTATGTATATTTTCCATTGGACAATATGAAATTGTGAATTTTGTCAAGTTTCAATTAGACAGTTTTATTGTCCCTTAAAAGTTTTTTTAGTAGGGACTTAAAAAAAAAAAAAAAGCAAAAGACAAAAGATAAAATCCGTCAACTGTGGTATCCGAAGAGTGTCACTTATTATATTCGCTCTACTGTAAATCTATTTAATTAATTAATTAATTAATACATACATACATTCATTGATTCATTCATTCATTCATTCAATCATTCATTCATTCATTCATTAATTAATTAAAATATATTGTCGTGAAACGGTGAGAAGTAGAAAAAGCTGTGAGCCACCGGTGTCTCTCAGTTATGGTCCGATTTGACAATATTGAATATGAAAACACTATACGCCATAAAATGACTTTAATAAGATTTGAGGTGTGAGGAGTAGCTGTAATAAGTTCACGACGATGACGATGACGTTGACGATGACGACGATGACGACGACGACGAGGAGATTAATAATGATGAGAAACAATAAAAAAAAAAAAAAAAAAAGAAAAAAAAGAAAAAAAAAACGAAAAAAAAAACAAAAAAAAACAAAAAACTAAAAATTATAATATATACATGCATATATATATGTATACATATGTATACATATATATATATACATATGTATATATATATATGTATATATATATGTATATATAGTCACTAATTTTAAGAGTCAACGAGAGACCATTTGGCTTTATGGGAGGAAGAAAATTGAGTACGAAAAGAGCTACGAAAAAATACGAAAGTTATAATGTAGCTAAAAATTGAAAGGTGATTGCTTGTGCTTGATATTTATATTTTTCAAAGGGGGCGATATATTATTAGTGAGCTGTTGGATTTGACGTTTAATGCATACTGTTTTAAACAAACAAAAAAGAAAAAAGGAAAATGCTAAGCGAGCGAGAGAATGTGAGAGAGAGAGAGAGAGAGAGAGAGAGAGAGAGAGAGAGAGAGAGAGAAAGATAGAAAGAGAAAGATTAAAATAAAAACTGGACTACTGACGTATTTGTACGCTGCAGTAATCGCGCTTACTAATAATAAAGAATTACCTTTATGTAATAATTGTTCATTTTTATTATTACAAGAATATTGTCAAATCATTTATTTTCAATTAATCCATACTTGTAAATATTACGGTTTTATATACATGATATATGAACGAAACTATTGCTTAATATATATATATATATTATATATTATATATTATATATATATATACATATATATTATATATTATATACATAATATATATACATATATATTAAATATATATATATATATATATATATATATATATTAAATGTAATAAATTAAATTTCGATCCTATTTTATTGTCAGCATCTTGCAGCGAATGTCATTAATAAAATAATAAAATGTATTTGTAATAGATTCTTTTTCCTTCTTATATTTATCAAGATAAAATTAAAACCATAAATGGCATATAGTGAACTTCCTTCTTAATAAAATTAAAATTACACTACTCATTAGTTTTATATTATCTCATTGTATTTATTATACAGGGAAGTATCATTAATGATAGTAATGTTTAAATTTCGTGCACTCAGTGGCACATTTAACAAAAGTAAGCAGATAATATATGCAGGTAATAATCCTTTAAGTCATTTGAAAAGATTAACGTAATTCTAAAAAAATGTTTTCTGATTTACAGAAAATACAAATAAGCGATTAGCTTATTGTACACTCTTTTAGAATATGCAAAAAAAATCATCCAAACACTTTGAAACTACATAAA